CCCCCCCCCCACGGTGCTTGCTGTGTACGCCGATCCCGAGACCCTTGGTCGGGGGAGTCCACCGCATCTCACCAGCGCAGCTCATGTAGCACCTACACACCCATTGTTGTTTTTTGTTTTGTCTTCGTTTTATCTCCCCTTCTTCCGTAGGTATGTGCAATGTGATTAAAAATTTAAAAAAAATGACACATACATGCACGTGCACGGCCACCCTCCATCCCTCCCCCCCCCACCCACCCCCACCCCACCCCCCACCCCCATCCACCCCCACCCACCCCCACCCCCACCACCACCCCCACCCACCCACATCAACCCACGCATGCCAACACGCACGCAAGTGCTGATTCCGGCCAGAGTCGCACGGCCAACTTACGGTCAGTTTCTGGCTGTCCGTGGCGGCAATATCGGTTTCGATCATGACTCTCTCTTCCATTGTTATGTAGGGATGTACGGCAGGACTTTCATAACACAACGCAAACCATAGGATAGTGGCAAGCAGAGACCCGGCACCTGCAACATCACAGCAAACAGAAATTACAGTGGTGGAAAGTCATGCAGTGACCATCCATCGGCATCTACAATTACAGTGGTGGAAAGTCAGTGACCACAGTGACCATCCATCGGCATCTACACGAATGGCGGTATCGTTACTATGACAACCAATCTTGCTTGGGCATGTCATTCGCTGTTCACGCTACAATGTTGCCCAATGAAGTTTGGGCTATGTGAGTCAGCAAGCAGTGGGAGATGTGAGCCGCCCCCCCCCCCCCCCCCCAACCTCACCCATACACAGCGCTGCGAGCTGGAATCCAACCCCTGGAAGCTTTGGTGGCCTGTGTGCAGCTGAGACCATGGGGTTGGATTTCAGCGGGCAACACCGTGACTACATGCGCACATTCAGTGGTGCAAAGAGAAATCCAACTCCAGATGAAATCTGAACACACTACCATCCACAATGATGATCTCACCAAAGACATAGAAGATGGAGGGCCAATTGTCGCCAGAGTAGTTCAAATCCGCGCGCCGACCAAACCCGTCCGTATCCAATGCACTGCCGGCCGTGAACGCCAGAATCACGCCGAAACTAGACCCTGCGCACGCAACCATAGCAACCAGAGCACAGCAAAACACCTCCATGGACTACAGCAGCACAGCATTTTCTCTCCTTCCAGTTGCATCTTCCTTCCCTCTGCTCTGTTTTGCCTTTGTCTTTTCGTTCGTCTCTCTTGATATTCTACGTCGTACTATTGAGGCAACGAGCTGAAATATTAAAAACCTACCAAACCAAGTCATGCATGTGATGTTGTCGAATGTATGGCCCGGCTGGATAAGCAACTTGGCCGGCCCGGAGACATAGGCGTATAACCCGGAGTATAAGCCGCACTTGAAAGTTGAAACACTCGTAATGCACACAAAAAGAGTCGGTGCGGTTCGGTGGAGGGGGGGGGGGGGGGGAAGTACAGAAGAAAGAAGAGCAGCAGCTGTAGCAGCAATTGATCACCTGACGTGGCGATGGCAGCAATCAGTCCAACGTTCTTCTTCGGCGCCCATTTGCTCAGCAGAACATGGTATCCTGGAAACACAAATGCCTATACAGGAACAATGGATGTACAGCGGCAGCAAGCAAAGGAATATAACAACGGAAGATTGGAGGAGACCAGGCAAACATTAGAAAACCTGCATCTGGGATCGGCATGGTTATGGGACCCGGGATCTGGGACCTGGATATGGGGCAGGAACCTGGATATGGGGCAGGAACCTGGATATCGGGCAGGGACCTGGATATGGACAAGGATCTTGATATGGGGCAGGGACCTGGATATGGGGCAGGGACCTGGATATGGGGCAAGGATCTTGATATGGGGCAGGGACCTGGATAGGGGGCAATGATCTTGATATGGGGCAGGGACCTGTATATGGGGCAGGAACTGGATGTGGGGCAGGGACCTCAGGTCTGGTATCTGGGGCATTGATATGGGACGGGGATCCTTTTCTGGTATATGACACCTTTGTAATTATGGCGTTTGGACACCTCCTGCAACCATGCATGCATTCAGGTACTGGTTCTGTCGGCCAGTAAGCCAGGATCGTCCCACTGTCACAGGACTCGCCTGGGAAAGTCCCCACCACCACATGACTAACCAGGGAAAGTCCCTGCAGTCACATAACTCACCTGGAAAAGTCCCTGCAGTCACATGACTAACCTGGAAAAGTCCCTGCAGTCACATGACTCACCTGGGAAAGTCCCTGGTGGACACGCAGCACAATCAGGGCGTCAAAGCTCCATCTAGCAACTAGTGGTGTCAGCAAACACAGGACACTGTTGATGAACATACCTGCACAGAAACAATATACAACAACACAGGACACTGTTGATGAACATGCCTGCACAGAAACAACAACAAACAGAGCAGATTGCGTCTACTTGCTTACAACAGTAGGATTCTCTAATTGCCCGCAAACCCTGATGCCCGAAAATTTGGTGTAGTGTAAATTTTAATTATAATCACAGTGAAGAGACCGTTTTTGGAGTTTGGAGTTGAGAAGTGAAGTTTTCTAACAGTAGGTGTGGCTGAAAAATATTGAACCTACCCGAACACTGCACACCATTCATCCCAAACTGGAATCCTACTTGGTCCGCCCAGTTAAAATTGGCGCTTATCTTCTCTTTTAAAGTATTTAAATAACCGACGAGGAGACAACAGTCGTAAAATAGCAATGAAAAATATCAATTGTGCACTCATAATCATGTATAAACAATTAAAATGAAACAATTCCAGAACGTTTTCGTGTGACCATCATCAGTGGAACATCGTCACATAGTAAGAATCACTAAAACAACCAGTTATATAGCTAGAGTAACATGAAAAGAAGCGTGAGAATGCAGCACAGCTAGCGGTTATGCATAACGCGTGTAGTGTGAACCTTTGCAGTGTATCTGAGAATGGTAGCAGTAGATGAATGTGGCAGCTGTGAGTGCGTGTGAACAAAAACTGGTGAGTGCGTATTATTTAAAAAGTGTGAGTGCTACAACATTTTCTTTTTGCTTGCATAGAACAGGGTCACGTGTGCGAATATATACAGCTTCCAACACCTGCAACTGCTTAAAGAAACGCGCGCGACAAATAACACTAAACCAGGAATCGTCAAACAACTTACGACAATCCGGACTGGACACCAAATGCTTGTAGATGGCAGACTTGCTCTTGTCGATGTCGAACTCCTCCTCGTCCGTATCACTCTCATCCTCCACTTCGGGTTCGGTTCGTCCGCGCATGTACGGCCTCCCCAAGATACATAAACCATCCTGCCCGCTTAGACCAATACTCTCCATGATAGGATCGCCCCAATACGCTATATCCAAGTGGCTCTGCGGCATGATACAACCGGTATTAGAGCATTATTGTAAACACAACGTTAAGGACACGTTTGAATTCGTTGAAATCCTTCGTGACAACCCTATTCCGCCTACTGCCCATATGTGCTCTTTCGATGTTGTAAGCTTGTTTACAAACGTACCACTAGACGAGACAATAGATATCTGCGCGCGAAGACTATACCACAATGATGATGACATTGATCTTCCATGGTTACCGGAGACAGCATTTCGACGTTTGATGCTGATGGTGACGAGTGGCGTAGAGTTCTTGTTTGGTGATGTTATGTATAAGCAGACAGACGGTGTGGCGATGGGGTCTCCGTTGGGCCCGGTACTGGCAAATGTCTTCGTTGGATATTGCGAATCGAGAATGGACAAAATAAAGTGGCCTCAGTTGTACGTTCGATTTGTGGACGACTCATTTACCTATTTCGAAACAAGACGTGACAGTGAAGCCTTTCTAGATGAGTTGAATGATGTCCACCCTGCATTACGCTTCACATGTGAACACGAGGATTGCAACAAATTGTCGTTTTTAGATGTACTCGTGGAAAAGACATGTGAGGGTGGTGTGACATCGGTGTATCGTAAGCCTACATTCACTGGTCAGTATATTATGTACGATTCATATTGCTCTTCGCAATACAAGACCAATCTAGTCCGAAACTTAGCTGACAGGGCAAGACGCATTTGCTCCGAGAGTAAACTGCAAGCAGAACTTGATTTCCTTCGCTCTGTCTTTCTTAAGAACGGATATCCAGGATCACTATTAGCGAAACTACTCACGAACAATGCGCCCCGTAAGGAACTGACAATCGGCCCGGCTCCTTGTCGTGTCTTCCTGTGCCTGCCTTGGAAAGGCGCGGAGTCGACAAAGGTCAGTCGTATTGTCAAGTCTATTGTCCAGAAGACGTACTATGCAGTGAATGTAGTAACTGTCTTCACCACGATACGTTCGTTCACGGTGTTGAAGGACGTCCTGCCGACCCATCATTTGAGTCACCTCATTTATCATTTTGAATGCCGACAGTGCGGTAGTCGGTATGTTGGCAGGACGCTTCAACACTTGTCCGAACGTATCAAACAACACGTCCCATTGTCCTTGTTGTCAAAAGCGGCCAGGGCAGGCAGGCCAAAGCGTGGGAGGCCGAGAAAACACCCGTTGCCTACTACTACGCCTGTCAGTATTACAACACAACCAGAAACGGATACAACACCGGACTCAACAGTAGCGCAACACACGAATCTGGTGTCACTCTTGACGACAACAACACGGCATGGGAGACCACCGGACGACCGTTCATTAACAAACCCGATGGCGGTAACGGAAAGATCACCAGGAGAACGAAATGAAAATGGAGGAAAAACGAATCTGAGGAGAAGCCAGAGACTAGCGGAGACACGACTGAGAAAAATGGAGAAGGCGGAACCAGTAGTGGCAGGTGAAAGTACGGGCGCAGCAGTGAACACGTCAAGGAGAAAGAAGCGATGGCATGAGGAGATGGAGATGGAGGATGATGATGGGGATGAACAGGATGGTCAGGAGGAAAGTAAGGGTGAGCAGGAACGGGAAGTGGAGGATGAGAGTGATACGGACGAGGAGGAGTTCGACATCGACAAGAGCAAGTCTGCCATCTACAAGCATTTGGTGTCCAGTCCGGATTGTCGTAAGTTGTTTGACGATTCCTGGTTTAGTGTTATTTGTCGCGCGCGTTTCTTTAAGCAGTTGCAGGTGTTGGAAGCTGTATATATTCGCACACGTGACCCTGTTCTATGCAAGCAAAAAGAAAATGTTGTAGCACTCACACTTTTTAAATAATACGCACTCACCAGTTTTTGTTCACACGCACTCACAGCTGCCACATTCATCTACTGCTACCATTCTCAGATACACTGCAAAGGTTCACACTACACGCGTTATGCATAACCGCTAGCTGTGCTGCATTCTCACGCTTCTTTTCATGTTACTCTAGCTATATAACTGGTTGTTTTAGTGATTCTTACTATGTGACGATGTTCCACTGATGATGGTCACACGAAAACGTTCTGGAATTGTTTCATTTTAATTGTTTATACATGATTATGAGTGCACAATTGATATTTTTCATTGCTAGCTTATCTTCTCACTTGGTTTTTTGGTGTTCTGCCTGTGCCACACGGCATGGAACCACCGATTCACCATCCGAACATGACCATTGACCATTGCATCCGACGACATGGCAGCACAAACCATCACAGAAGTTGCGATCGGTTCGTTTGAGTCTTTTTGACGGAGCTGCCGCCGACGAACACTTCCGTCAGCGCAAGAAAACACTGCAACCTCCGCTCGAGTCCGTAAAATAGGTCAGGATGTTCGCATTTCAGAGCGATGGAGAATACAGTTTCTGTCTACTTCCAGCTGTCTGATGGCAAGGATTGTTTACCCCGGGGAGGTATTGAAAAGCTGAAAAAGCGCTTCGCGAGCTTGAATTTCAGTGCTTGCACAGTACAGCGCCTAGTGAAGGGCTATCACCAGCAAATCGCTGACGAAGAGACTGCAGCTCATGTCGATGTCTCCAGTAAGTGAGACCAATCCGGCGGACACACTTTGAAGCTCACAGAGGACAGGGCAAAGGAGCTAATCAAAGGAAACACCAAGTCCTGAGAGAAACACTCGTGCAAAGGACTTTCAGGAAACTAGCCGAAAAGCCTGGTGCACGGCGTTGTAGGTGCAGTACGCACAGGTGCTACATCAAGCGGAAGCTATCACTACGCTGCATGTACAAGCACCAGCGGCTCGCGTGGGTACGGGTGCTGATCAGTAAGTACGACAAGCGCAAGAGGCGATTTGAAAAAAGGACACTGATATGGCGTTGCCTTTTTGTCTCAAACAAAGTCGCATTATTGCGACGAACGGGGATAACACTTACAGTCAACATGCGGGCAGTCTCACTCAGCTTCTGATGGGAAGGTGACAGGCACGCACTGCCTTTGAGCGTGATTCGAGACGAGGAGAAGTGGAACAAGCTATGAAACGACCCGTGCAGCAGCTGTCCGGATCGTACGTTTCGAGCTCTTCCTCCAGCGACGATAGTGGCGAGGAGGATGTGTAACTTGCTTGAATTTTCGACTGAGTTGCTTACTGACATGTAAATAATCATGTATATAGTGCTTTGTGATCGTGGCTTGCTTCAAATATTCGTATTTCTTTCCTGAGACAAGTGTGAAGATAAGCGCCAATTTTAACTGGGCGGACCAAGTAACTTTTTGGTATCTCCCACGTCTAATTGCAGGTATTGTAAAATAAAATAACATAAACAGTACATCCTGCATGGTATCATCTGTGCAATTACTACTTGCCACGCTTGACGCCGGAAAAGTCCCAGGTTAGGGAATTAGAAATTCAGCCGGGTTTTGCAGACTTAGAATCGGTATACCATGGCAAAATGTAAAAGGGGATTCTCGAGCCGCAATTGGGTAAAAAAAATGGAATGATCATAATCTTGCTTTAGAGCACAAAAGCGTCAATAGTTGCCCTAATAAAAGGACGGCAGGAGAGCGGGAAGGTTTGAACTCATCAATACGTCAATGGTTGGCCTTTAATTTAGTCCAAAGGCTCCTTGGACGAAAAAGACGAATATTACTGCTTGTACAGTAACTAATCTTCCTTAATGTTAGCAAACACACATTCTACTATTTACTAGCTATATTCTACTCACACAGGAATGATCTCTGGGCCTTTTCAAATCCGATTTCGGCCGCATTACGCGCAAAACCCAACCCCAAGTCGACCGGTTATGGGATTTAGACCAGCATGTCTGCATGGTTATCAATGTTAACTCCTGCCGGAATTCTCAATGGCCGGCCTAAATTACCTTTGTTATTGACCACCTTTTGGAGAAATAGACACCAACAACGTAACTGGATGGGTATTCCATGCTGTATGGCGAAACAGTTTTTTTTAATGCCGGACTTATGTCGATTTGTCCAGCTTTTCAATACACTCTTGTGGTCCATGAACGAAGTTTTTCAATAGGACGAACTCCCCTTCTTTGTGGTTGGACGAAATTATTGACCGACGAAATGTTCTGCCTGTAAAGTACACGTAACGGGTACGGGACAGTGGGCGATGCACATAAAGTTCATGCAATGGACCCCGTTTGCAATGTTGTGTTTAGTTAAACGGAACAAGCAAAAGCATGAAGTAAACGGCCCACACTTGGCCAAAGACGAGGCTTCGAAGCTCATCGAATATATTGATTTCGTGCTTCGAACATTTCTTCAGCTGAGCACCCTCACAGGTTGCACAATGCGCTCCATTCTGATTTCACTCACGTTCTGGCGGAACGTGGGTGAGCCTCCATACACGGTAGGTCGTGAAAAACGTCTGTACGTGGGTCATTGAGTATCACGTGGTACACACACGTAAAGTTCACACGGGACTTAACCTCCCTATTGTTGGGACTAACCCCCCCTATTGTTGGGACTAACCCCCCCCCCCCCTATTGTTGGGACTTACCCCTCTATTGTTGTGACTAAACCTCCCCCTATTGTTGGGACTACCCCCCCCCCCCCCCCCTGTTGTTGGGACTAAACCTCCCTATTGTGGGGACTAACCCCCCTATTGTTGGGACTACTCCCCCCCCCCCCCTGTAGTTGGGACTAAACCTCCCTATTGTTGGGACTAACCCCTCACCCTCCCCCCCCCCCCCCCCTATTGTTCCCAGACTTACCTATAGAGATACAGCGGTGTGCACCATAGCTACCACTCAGCCAACCAGACGGCAGCGACATACCCAGGTAGCCGTAGAAGAATGCAGAGTTGATATAGCCTGATATTGACATACACACACATGGATATACACACACACATACACACACACATGTACATACACGCACGTACACATACACACACACACTCATGCACGCACGCACAAACACACACACATGCACGCACGCATGCATGCACAAACACACACACACACACACACACACACACACACGCACCGACACATACACACACACACACACACATACACATACACACTTTATCACGACGAATGTGAACTGAAAGTCTTGTCAAGGTTACATCGCAAAGTAGTACGTCCATATTATTCAAACAACCTACAAACCTACAAAGCGACAAGACATCATTTTAAATAATTTTGAACCCCCAAAACTTAGACCACAATCAATTTCATACGGCTATTGTGTGTTTCGTTTGTTTTGTGCATAGACATACGTACACTCTCGCTTGCTTTCATTATAAAAGGCCAGGTTCGCCCCTTGCAAATTGTTCTTACGGTGGGTGACTGGCCCAAAACGTCAATAATTTTTTTGACATCACCAATAATAGAATTTTCATCCAGCGCATGCGCCAGGAGTGAATAGCAACTGAATAGAGCGGTTGTCAGTTGACAAACCCCCTTTTATTTAAAACTTAGACTGACAAGGTCTTTAAAAAGCAGTGACACAATAGAGAATACAATAGAACAGAGACCATTTAACATTCTTCAGATTTGGAATATCGCGCTTCCTGTGAAACTACGCATGTCATGATTGACAGTTGAGAGAGAGAGAGAGAGGGGGGGGCTGATACCAATTTTAGTAATTATTTGGGCTGGCCAGAGTTTTTGTTACCAATGGATAAAACATCCTCCACTGTGTGTGCACTGATTTATCAACGGAATGTGCATTATGATCACCTTGCTGCTGCTTGGTCCAATTGAACTCCGGCCCCTACACAAGACGAGAATAGATAATGGAAATGGAAGAAAGCAGAATCGGGATTGACACAGCAAGAGGACCGGAGATTGGTAGACGATGATGACGAGAGAGGACAGAAACGAAAGGAAATGGGGGTGAGGGTAGGCGCGTGGTCTCAAGTAATACATCCAGAAGGCTCAGTTTCACTATGGCAACTTGCAACTACTGTGTTTTCGGTACTAGCGCCGGTCATTAAAAACCGGCTGTCTGCAATACCCGCCATATAATTTCAAGGCCTTTGTGTGGATTTTTTCAAATATCAATTGGGTGAAATTCAGGGCGCGCAACTAAGCGCCTCTGCCAGTATTGCCGAAAATACGGTATAGCGTCACTCTTGCCACATGGCGGCATGACGCGGCCAGCCGTTATCACTATGGCAACAAGAACGGCATAAACTCATGACATCCGGAAACACAAACACACACAGGGTTTCGTATCGCCATGGCAACTTACCCGTATGGTGCCGTTCTCGTCCCCTGACGTGGTGACGTTGCCAGCCATTGCTACTATGGCAACGCTTACGTTGAAACGACACGCGTACAGGAAGGTGAAGACGAGAAAGCCAACCAGGGAGAGGATCCAGCGCGTGCCACGGATCTTCCGCTGTTCTGTAAAATACCATAGCAACCACGGTGGCACTTACAATCTACTGTGGAGGGCATTGTTCTAACGAGCCACATGTGTACCGTATTTTTCCGGTTGTAAGTCGATCTTTTACGACTAAAAATAGAAGGAGAAAGGGTGGGGGTCGACTTGCAACCGGGATTCGACTTATAACCGGGAACTATCAGAATCTTACAAAAATGACCTGCCCTGCATGCACGAGTGCACCATGTGTACACATGTTTGCCAGTTTATTGGCCTTTTTCAAGGATTGGGACGTTATACCCTCCAATAAGGAATGTTTACATGATTTGTTGATGTGTTAGTAGCAGGGAGTGGTTAGTAGTGTTTCGTTGGGTGAAAACTTTAAAACGCAGAATTGAGACCTCCGGATACAGGGGTCGACCTATAACCGGGGTCGACTTACAACCGGTAAAATCCGGTAACGATTTCCTAAAATTTACAAGTTTACGTGTACCAAAGGTAACAATTCTCACTCATTCGCAACGCTCAATAGCAACAGTATATTTTATCGATTTCTGTATAACGTTTTCTAATTTACCGACAGATTTCTCCTCGTAAGCTTGTTCGATTTAGCACTTCGTTACATAATTATCCCTTTATTGGCCGATTAAAATACAAACAAGCCCACGCAATCGCCAAACCTGTACCTAAATTGGACGTAACTTTAGTTTGCATTGGACAAATTCCACGATCTTGGGCATCCTGGAAAGGCCTTGGCGAGAGGAGCGCAATGAGCGTACACTCGACTCCACGGGATGCACTGGCCCAGCGCTGCAAGCCAGGGAAGGCTCACCAGCGCTGGGCCCACGCTCGAGATCTATCTCTATCCACCATTTCACTCCTGTTGCTCGTATCAGACTCAAAATTTTTCGTGAGACTCCCGGGAACCTGCTTTTGAAGTTGAATCGGCGTAGTCTTGTCAACAGGTGACGTAAGCAGGGAAAATCCCGGCCGTTGACCCACGCATCGCGCTCTGAGCGCAAATTTCCCGGGACCAACATTACGAGTGCTATAACTCAAGAACTGCTCTTTGTATCGCTTTGAAATATGTTTGAGGCGACAGCTGAGAGTTTTCTCTTCGACCTACATATTTCGATCTTTACGAAAGACCGAGATTTGAGCAAGTTACGAAAATTTCAAAATGCCTACCCCATCGAACATCGGTGTGCGATCAATGTATAGGCCAGCCAATAAAGGGTTATAAGGCTTTTACAGTATGCAAGGTGGTTCGTCAGTACTTATCCCGTCGTACGATACGATTTGGGCGGTCTCAGCCAATCAGCGGCCGTTATGAGCGGGGTATATGGAGCGAGATATCCCACTTGGGTAAAAACTATTCCCCGCGTCACACGGGTCACGCCAGAGAGTAAATAAGGGAGATGTTCCTGCTCTATTTGGGACAGTACATCGGATAAATGTACTACACCATTCGTACTCTGTGTATACCGTGTCCCTTAAATTTCCCTCGTGCTAACGCACTTGTGAAAATATTCGACGGTATGCCCCTCGGACTCATGGTATAAGCCATACACAATTGTAATTTGTTTCCAATGTACGGGTGACATAATTTTCATACTGTCAGACCTCGCTTAACCGCACGCATCCGTTTTCACCAAAAATTATTAGGATAGGCGAGGGAACCGGATAATCGAACACACATACTGTATGTATGCATGGCATATGCTATAAATCGGTAATGATTTTCTTCCGGATAGAGAGGGATCCGGAGAAAAGAGGACCGCATAAGCAAGGTCCGACTGAACTAATATTCTTCTTGCCACATTGGATAACGACGACTTAGCACGGCATAACAATCTACATTTGGAACCAAAGAAATCCAGCGCCTAGCTGATTTCTTATGCTCACACTGTCATGGGAGCGGGGACACACACACACACACACACACACACAAACCACCTTCCCACCACCACCACATACACAAACACACACACACACACATACACACACACACACACACACACACACACACACACACACACACATACACACACACACACACACACACACACACACACACACACACACACACACACACACACACCTGGCTGTGCACAATTTCCAGAATCAGCACATTCTACAGGAACATCAGAAACCTACCAGCTGCCACCTCCACGGACGGAGTAGATCTGAGGAGAGGCGTGAGTTCGGATGGCATGTATCTGGTCTGCGTGGAAAGTGCACTGCCATTGCGAGAGACAGCACTGGTGCATGGCTTTGAATCAAAGTCGTGTGCACAGTCATCATCTTCATCCTCTGAAAAGTTGAAATTGAAAACATGTAGAGATAGCCAAAGTCATTGTGCATGATAGATACATTTTATAACACATTTATAACGTTTTTTTCTCAAAGGGCAAAGACTCCATTGTAGCCATCCACTATGTCTATACATGTATCTCTTCACCTCACTCTCCAAACAGTCTCTGGGCTACACCAAATTATTCTCCTGCTCTTGTAGTAGTTGAGCACTCTCATGTGGGGTAGTGCCTTTGCTGTTTGCATTGCAAGGTACGTTGGGGCCTGATTGCAAGTTTTTATTTTCATTGCTATCAGGTTCGGCCTCATTTCCTCTGTGCTGCGCTGATGAGTTCACAAAGAACGAAACAGCATGCTGTCCGCAGATTGAGTAGAAGAATGAAGGAGATAATCATTCGAATTTTCCGGCAACTGCCATCTTCCTGAAGATTGTCATGAAGATGGCCTTGCCCGAAAATTCTAATGATTATCTCTTTTTTTAATATGATTTTATAAAGTGGTTTGCTTCACTGTCCGAAGAGTGCTCAGTACCCATGTAGGGCAGAGCCTTGTCTCTTTACGATTATCTCTAATTTTTCTTTCAGTGATTGGTGTAGCCCAGAGACCGCTTGGAGAGTGTCAATTAAAAAGTTTTTATACGTTGAATTGCATACTTGATGAGGGCAATTTTGCCGAAACGTAACAAATTGATTGAGAAATGAGTTCAAGTTTGAAGAGTGAATGGGAAGAGAGCGAGTCTGCTCTGAAACAATTTTTTTCCTATGAAGGAAGCTGCAGGAAGCCTCACCACTGCCACTAAGTTGAATTATAACAGTTGTGCAAACGATAATATTATCATCATAACACCCATAGTAGAGAATACACAATGTACACATGACCTCACCACACACTGTACTGAACAACAAGGGTAGTTACTGTAAGACATGGCATGATAACGAGGAAGTTAATCGAACTAGTTTTAACGGGTGAAATTTCTTCGTTACATTAAGTTCTCTTGAGGTTGCAATGCCACATATGTGATATGTGCGGATATGGCTGAAGACTGCAAGATCGCTATCGTATGTTCTCGTTAACCTATGGATTTTGGACAATCGTTAAATTTGCCACTCGTTATAATAACATGTTTTACGGTAGTGGACATTTAAGGACACCAAGACAGCATTGAGGCAAAACAGCTAGCCGGTTGCGCACCGACCACAGCAAGAAGGACCTGCTAAGTTGAACGATAACAGTTGTGCAAACAGCAGCATCCTAACGAGTAGAGGATATGCAATAGTATTATAAATGTGTGATCTCACCACGGTACTGTACACGCATTGTGTTATTTATTTATTTTATTTTGCAAAGGATCAGTCGGGGAAGTGGACTGCCTGAAAAGAGAAAAAATCGCCAGACCCACCAGGACTCGAACCCGGGACCTTGCTTGTCATGAGCAATGCTCTAACCGCTGAGCTATGGGACCAGGCTGAACCTAGAAGGCGCTGACAAGATTTTCACTCCAAAGGCAGCTCACAACACGTTATTTTTATTCTTATTTTACTAGGGAATTCCCAACAGGCGTCATCACCTTTCTACAGGGAACTCTAAGAAAGTCTTGATGGATGATCGAAATTCAGCAGGTGAATTGGAAAGGCGGCAAGCAGGTGGCAGTGCATTCCACCGGTCAGCGCCTACGTAAGAAATTGCACTGAAACCATTGCGTGTGCTAGCAGGGGGTAAAACAAGCGAGGCAGACAGACACCCGTGGTCACCTACTGTCAGTGTACAAATTTTAGGCCCATTCAAATTTCGGCCTCCCAGGGCTAAAGCACATTTCGGCTGCAACAAATTTTCGGCCTGTACTGCTGCCACCTGTATACACTGTCACACTGAACCTTGCAAAACAAATTTCCGGCCCAACATGACCGAGGCCGAAAATTGCCAAAAATAGATATAAGAAAGGGTTTGCTCCCCACACTGGAGCTCGCGCTATTCCGCCGACTTTACTTGACACTTGACTGACTCACGACTGCCATCCAGAGCACACAAGAAGTCCATCGAACCTTCGACTCGGCAAACCTGCAAGAAAGCACCACTCCCTGCTCAATACACAGTGTTTCGGGGAATTCACCCCTCATCAGTTGAGCTTGAGTAGGCTGAGGAAGATTGTGCCTGAAGAGCACCACTTATATAGTGCTCTCCAGGCACAAACATCACCAGGGATACAAACTTACAGAGACGCTTCGTTTACAGCGCGACAAACACCTCGTGAACACCAGATAGCAGCGTGAGTCAGTGTCGAATATTTGTTGACTTTTTAAACTACAGTACATGTGTTTCATCAACACGCGGTCAGGGGTGTCACACACGGTATGATCAGCAGCACGACCATGCTCGTACCACTTTTCATCCAGGCTATTTTGATGGTCCGTCCAATTCATCCAAAAAACAAAAACAAAAAAAAGAGTACTATAACGCCCTGTTGGTCGGAAAATCCGATTTCGTTTCGCCGAGGGACACGCCAGACCCCCGTCATGCCACTCCCTAACGCCCTGTGACACACACCCCTGGTAGTTGTATAGAAACCTCGCTGGTCATGAAAGAGCTAGCTGTGTCATTAGTGAACGCCTGGTGCACAGCTGGCCCTCTGGGCCCTGTCACATGCCTTGTGAACATAACGGCGCACACACACACGCACACACACACACACACACACACACACACAAACATACGACACAAAGTGCTGTGGACCCTGGCCAGTGGCAGACGCTACTCATCTTAGCTCTGACCTGTGGAGAGATTGTCGGCGTGACTCAGACGGTCACTGTCCTGATCATGACTGTTTGTACAATACTGGATACTGGCAGCAATGGGCTTTGGTGGTGGTGATGGCACTCGCTGGTCGTCATGACGAATCACGTACCCTCGGCCATCATCGTCAAGGCAGCAGCCGGCTGGCGGGCGGCCACGCTGACGGACGAGACTGTGCGCCGCAAGTCCACTGGTCGGTGGGTACTGCCTCTGTATGGCCAGGTGACGGTGTAGGTCACGGCTTGGATCAATGAAATCCACCTGCAGGTAACATGACATGCACATATACACGTATGCCGGTATGAAGTATATATGTTTATAAGCTCCCAAGATTGTGCAACTCCTGGTACTGTGAAACAGGTAATTTTAGGTGGATTCAAATTTCGAACTACAAGTTACGCTATAATGTCCACTAACCGCACCGGTTACTAAACAATGAGCTCATGCGATAACATTGCACCACTTGTAGTTCCTTGGTCCGTTTTTAATTTTTATAAATAATCCTTGGCTCTCCATCCGAGTTCATTTAAATTTCGCTTCCAGGGATCTGCCAGGTTTCAAGCGTAATGTAGAATTAGGTGATCGGCCTACCCTTCGCGTACAGTGCACACTCTGGTGCGCTTTAGGTATACTTAAATTTTAGGTGCCCGGATTCTATAAAAAAAAAAGGACCAAGGAACTACAAGTTACGCTATAATGTCCACTAACGCCACCACTTGCTTGACAATCAGCTCATGCGATAACATTGCACAACACTTTTTTTGTTAGTGGACATTATAGCATAGCTTGTAGTTTCATGGTCCTTTTCTTCACTATAAATTATTCATAGGCTCTCCATCCAAGTCTATGCCCGCATTCTCTACCGGAATTACCGAAAGTAAAATTACACCGAAAGTGCCGTGATATACAGTACCCTTTCTAAGGGGTTCGCCGACGGCGAAACCTCACATCACGTGGTGTAGCGGTCCAGTTGTACGTTTCCAGCCCGCTTTTTTGTGAGCAGAGGAGTAATACAAAAATCAATCTCTGACAGAAACTCATTGTGCGTACGCAACTCGGCAGCATGATCGTGGCAGATATTCGTATTGCGCGCACGCTATCCTACGTTCGTACATTGTACGAAACGTACCCGAGACGCGTGACGTGAGTTTTCGCCGTCGGAGACCCCAACTGCAATGTTGCACACTCTCGGGAGCCTGTAGTTACTCTTGATGGTATAGGTAAGCCTAGTTCAGTTGAAGAAGATGGTGATTGGTTGAGACACAGTGTGCCCTACACGTTGTAACATGCTCTCAAATTTCAACCAATCCACATGTACACGTACAGTAAGTCAACAAATATTCGGCGCATTTTTATTTTTCGGCTATTTTCCGCCTGGTCATGTTCGGCCCAAAACATTATTGCAGCCGACATTTTGTTTCGCAAGGTGCAGTGTGACAGTGTATACAGGCGGCAGCAGTGCAGGCTGAAAATTTGTTGCAGCCGAAATGTGTTTTAGCCCTGGGAGGCCGAAATTTGAATGGGCGGAAACTTGTCGACTTGCAGTATGTCTAGCACAGAGTGCAAGATTTAAAATAATGAAACGGCACGGGACGGCGGGAGTAACACCGAGAAGTCTTCAAAAGAACCGATAGGGTGAGTGAACTTCACAGACTCTCAATGGCCGCAACCCAAACCCAGTATGTACAGCACGCATGATGTCAGAGTGTCCCGGGGGGGCACGCAGGTAGTGCCAGTGAGTTCACATGCTGCGCCAAATAAGCCCATTGCGCATTGCCAAAATAGAAATGGATTGCTTGAGCAATGCATGTGAGTACGCTGGGATCAGCAATGCACTGTTGAACACACCACACACGACCATGCCCAGGTGTGCCTGTGCAGGGTGTTTATGGTACAGACTGCGACATTGCGCAATGTGGCTTGGTTTGCGCTGCATGCATCTGCGATACAGCAAACATCACGGTATTCTTGGTTGTCATACCATCTTCTGTCAAGTAAAGTAAAATTTGCACATCTGTGTTACCAGTGGCTTACGATTGTGTTGAGAAACACAACCGGCTTACAAGTAGGAAAGCTTAGGTCATGCCATCTCACCACCATGATAGTGAAGCTTAGGTCATGCCATCCAGTGGCGTGCACCGAGTCTTGAAAGGGGGGTTTCTAGAGTTGGTAAATTTGTTTCTGGAGACCCACTGGCACTGTATGTACATTGTATTTGTGCATACGCGCATCTCCCGAACATCCTGTCGGAGATAACAGTGAGGGCTAGGGAAGAGGGGCTCAAGATATGAGGGGTGCAAGGCACCAATGAACACTGGTGCTGATGAGATGTGGGTCAGGTACATTGTACCTCACTAGTCCACTCCATTCTCCAGGCATGTTCGTTTCATCAAAACACTGCTTACATTCGACGTATCTTTCTTTCTGTTCTTATGACGAAGTTTTCAGCATGTATTGGCAATGTTCCACATGATTTCAATAAAGAGTTATGGAACTTGCTTCGATGGAAACTCGTGGGAGAAAAGCAAAGCCCCGCGTCCTCGAGTCGGGGCGGGAGCAGCGCTTCGTTCTGAAGCAGTGCAAGTGGATCATGGACGCACATTTTTACGTCTTCCAGTCGACAAGGTTTTTGACGAACATCTGCTGCGCACATGAGCGAGAACGAAAGGCTGTGGAGATCTTGATTTGAGTGAACGGTTTAGAAGGAGATATCATCAATCATATCCTTGAACTGACTTGCATCGCGCGTGCTTGACTCAAATTTCGAGACAAAACGGATTTCTTCAACGTCATTGCCAATCCAGTAGCGGACCAGAGGTAGAGATCGATCTCTCTGTGGCTACTCTCCACTGAAGAAAAAGAGAATAATGTATTTTGAACTACATGCAAAGCAACTCTCTCTCACTTCGAAATAAGGACATAGTCACTGTACTGTGAACTGTCCGTCGATCGACGAGTATGCACGATAACTAATCCAGTAGGCATGCTTTTCCTTTGGCAAGATTACACGCCCACATTCTCACCCTGTACACCCCCCCCCTGCACGACCCACACACACAAAGTCCCTCTCCCCCCCCCCCCCCCCCCCCCCCTACACTGCCCACACACACAAAGTCTCTCTCTCTCATGATACTCTTGAATTTTACCTCATCCTGGCCCGTGTTGTCATTCTCCACCCCAACATCACAATTACTGCTAGAAGCATCAGGTAGCGACCCGCGTACTTCACCAGGCGTGTTACGATAGCGATCAGCTGTGGTGTTCGCACAGTCATTGTACTTGTGAGCAGTCCCCTGCTCCGCACCGTACTGTCGCTGATCACTGTCCGACATTGCTCCGCTAACACGAGACGAAGTATTAAAGTCACGAAATATTTACACGCCAAGAGCTAGACATGAGCTGTGGGCTAGTGGAGAAATACAATTTTAGTGTTGGAAAGAAACATCTGTCCGGCTTGTCCACCCCCATCGCAAATCAAGCTGTGAAACAACAACACCGGTGCCAGCGCATCTTCAGACCATCGTGAATTGGGCCCATGCCCAGCGCACTCATTCGACTGCAAACATTACAATTAAATTTTAATTTTCATTACAGCAGCGAGCGCACAGCGGACAATTACAACCATTACGGCATTAGCTGTCTGTCACTTGTAAAGTAACAGTTGTACTAGCTTGTAGTCTACCAGGCGCTAGGCAGCAACGAAGGTACAGACTACAGACATCGGTCCATGCCCCCAGGTCATCGATATTTTTTAGAGGGTAAAATATCGTGGATCCAAGTCGGGTTTCACTTGGTCGCTTTGCACTTTGTTGGTAGCCTGCCGGCCGCAAGGCATGGCATGTGAGGTGGCAGTGCCGTTTGGCAGGATCTGGGATTTTGGATTCAAGCCAGACACGTGTGTAGTTCTCACGTGACCACTACCCGCACTCGCGCTGTACAAAATATTTTTCGATTTACTGTACAAAAATATTTTCGTTAGATCACACCATACATGCATATGGCACCACGTACAGTATTATTCAAAGTACAAAATGTAGCGCACAGGCACCAGCAGTGGTCCAGCACGGGTTACATTATCATGATTATGATTGTTACAATGCGTAGTAAATTTCGCTTTGGGTCGACTTAGGCATTGGCGGATAATGCTCGAAAAGGTGGCAGATTCTGCTCGAAAAGCAGTGAAATTGGCAGAACCATACAAACCTTATGGCGGGCAATTCCTCGAATTACATGTATGTTCCATTTCGCCACCTACCAAACATGCATGAAACTTACCTTGTTTTGCTGATGTTCTTGTCCATGGGCCATGGCACTGCACTGGTGGTTTCAGGATCAAAATCGCAGTTCTTGTTGCCGTGTCTGTTGAGTCATGATACAATGTAGTTTACAGAAAAATGTAGGCTCGGCTCTTCTCTGCTTTCTTGGTTTTTTTTTAATGCTGGACGTCGTTAATGTACATGTACGTCATGTAGCAGCATTTGAAAGGAATAGAGCCCTCTCTCTCTCTTGAATAGTGGTAGCATTTCAGTTGCATCTCCAGTTTTAGTAGTACCGGTACACACTCAGTGCTGTTCTGAGTTACCAGGAGAAAATATACCATATACCATATACCACATACCACATGAATTCTCTCTGCACAAAAAAGCCCAATACGGCAATAGGCAATACAACCTGGAATCTCTCTGTTTTAAAAACCCCCAATACATGTACACAGGCTACATGCACAATGCGTTCTAGGTTTTACATTGAAATCGAAAGATTAAAAATCACCAGCCACGACGAACGCTACACTACAGCATCGCAAAAAGTAGTTTTGAAAATAAATTTCGAAGACGAATGTCCTGTGATACAACGTGAGGATTACTGAACTGCACGGGGATGGAGAGCAGAGCGATCAGCAGCAACTCGAACTGCTCCCTACAGGCGTATGGTACACATGCATGCTTAAACTCAGGTAGCCGGGTATAATTAATAGTAGTAATTGTGCGGACCTCACCAGGGAGAGCGTTCCACAGCCGCTGAGAGCACCAGCAACAGACAATCTCCGCTGACCGCGGCGGCTACGGTTTGTTTGGCGTAGTACTAGTAGTAGGCCATTTGACTGCTGATGGCGGGTAGGGGGTAGGGGCGCCTTGTGCCGGGGTCAGAAGCTGGGCGAGCACAGGGCTGGTGCGGGCGTGGATGCACCGCCAGATGGTGATCAATATTTTCTGCCTGTAGTGTAGAGCTCGCTGACACGGTACAGGGAGGGAGCAGTGAGCAGCTACATGTATTATGAAAGCAGCCAGCCTTATGCCTGATCATGCAACAGTCATGTAATTGTTTCCCCCTGGCAATGGCCTTGCCCTTGGTTCTGTCTTCTCATTACGTCGTTCTCTGCTGGACTGTGCACTGCTGCCACAGCCACTGCCATGCCCATGACAACACTGCTGCCACAGACACTGACACAAGCAGCACTGGACTGCTGTCTGCTTGTACTGCTGTTGCTGCTGCTGTTGCTACAAGACGTATGTAAGGTGTAGTCTGAGTGCCTTTTTTGTTTGAATTTCGGCTAGTCGAGGATCGGCTACTATTTTCGTCTTGAGGCTAGACAAGTGGAAGTAGCCATATACAATGTAGGGGCGTGGGCTCGCCTTTCGGCACTGGGAATTGCACCTCGCTCCAGTCTGGGTTTGAGTTAGTTGTCTGCTGGTCTGTCATGACAGGTGCATTCCGACAATCTGCTGATCTGTCATCATGGTCATGAAAGGTGCATTCTGACAATGAGAAGAGAGACGCCGTTCTGACGCCAGACGGTGTCTGAGGCATCAGCTCAAAACTATTAGAGACACACACACACACACACACACACACACACACACACACACACACACACACACACACACACACACACACACACACACACAATGAACTACAGTACACAGTGCTGTAGAGTACTGCAGTATAGAACAGGACAGTTACAGTAGCAAGGGAAAAAGAAACTACCCGTACTCTCGCATCCTCATGCCGTAGAACTGATAGTAGGCTACTAGCTGCTGCTGCTGTTGCCAGTGTCTGTACAGTGAAGTGTATGTATGAATGACTTGTACTGCTACATACTATGAACAGCGCACAAGTGCAAGAGGAAATCTCTCCACACTGTTAATCATACAGTGTCATTACAGTTACCTGTAGCTGATCTCTCTAATTTGCTCTGCTAGTAACTGTTGTCTGTTGTAGTGTAGCTACTGCTTATCCTACTTCGGATCGGCAGCATGGGGGCCCTAACAAGCTCACTTCCTGCTGCCGTGAAGAAATACCGTGACCGTCTGTGTGCTGCCTACAGCAATGTGCAGTTCTGCATAGAGGAGACCGATGAAGAGAAGGAACGGATCTTGCAAATGAACGAGCTTTATGCTGACCTCCATGTGGTGTCCAAGCAGAAGTTAAATACCAGGATGCGTGAAGCAGAAAAACTGGGCACAACTGCGGGCAATGAGCAGCTGGCTCATTCATTTGCGTCTGAAGCTAGAAAGCTGCGCAAGATGAAACTCGCTGAAATCCTCACTGTCAAGAAAGCCATGCGACAACGCATGAGCGGAAAGACTTTCCGTGCCATTGCCCTCTCATCGGCTGGAGCAGGCAAAACCATGCTCTTCACCAAGAAAGGTCCGTATGAATGGGCAAGAGGGCAGATTTGGCCACACATCGCTGTCCTGCGTGCACTGGAGCTGCGCTTGGCAGAAGTGCGCAATATCACAAGCATCGCTGAGCTGCTAGATTTGCAGAATTACGGCATCACACTACCAGGTGAGCAGGCTGAAGTCATTGATTTTGTTTGCAATCATCCCGAATCTGTGTGTATTATTCTCGACGGCCTCGACGAGATCAAGCTGGCTGACTGCAGCAAGTTCATGAACGATGTCATCTGTGGCAAGGAATTGCCAGGAATCAACCTGATCATCACGTCCCGCCATTCAGCAGAAGCCATGAAGCTGACACAAAGCCGCGAGATAGTCTTCCATCGTCGTCTGGAGCTGCTGGGCTTTGAGAAGCAGGGTTTGGAGCACTACATTCGCAATGTCCTGTCTCCAGACGATGCAGCCAAGTTGCTAGCAGAGCTTCGCAGCAACCCACAGCTAGCCACAATGATGCGCACACCGTTTTTTGCCCAAGCAACCTGCAGCCTCTACCGACACAACCATCGCCTGCCAAACACGCCGTCTGCAATCTTCAACTCGCTGATCCTTCATATTCTACGACAGCAGAAATCAAAGTCAGCGCATGATGGTGAGCACTACACCGATTGGGACGATGTTCCCGATGACGTCCAGGAAAATCTACATGATCTCTCCCGCTTCGCTTTTAACATGCTCGTCCGTCGGAAAGTCGTCTTCACTGATGCCGATTTCAAAATGTTTGCTCTGTCATCGGCAAGTCGCACACTCGGCATGCTCATCGCCTGCGACACGACATCACCACAGTCCAGGGCTCAGTGGCGTTTCAGCCACCTGGCACTTCAGGAAGCTCTAGCAGCTCGCTACATCGCTAGCCGCTCTCCCAGTGCAGCTGACATCGCCTGGCTTGTGCAGCGACTCGGAGCATTCACAGGCAGCCTCAACATGTTCTGGCGCTTACTGGCCACTGAGCTGGACAGCGAGTCGGTCAATGTGTTGATCGAAGCCATTCTCAATCCGCAGTCTAAATCGTCTACTCAGCCACAGGATACCGACCAGGATTCCACAGGAGCAGAGGGACACAACGTCACGTGCTTTCTCTTCACAACACACGACTACGTCAAGGATTGGGCCGACCATGTGTCCTCCTTTCTCTCGCTGGACGAAGCAGAGCATCTTGCAGAAGAATTGCTGGGTGACAGGATCGACCTGGCATTGTCTGCTCCTGAAGTGGTCCGCCTCGAAATTGACCCAGCCATCACCAAAATCACCTGCAAGGATTTCGTTCGTTCATTGTTACCCATCTGGACGGATCGCGTCCCCAGTGCCAGTACACAGAAGCTGCACGATTGCATGGCCCACCAGGCGCAAGGATCGGCCATTCGATGTTTCACCGCCACTCCCACGTCAAAGCTACCTCCAGTTCCTCCATCCGACGAAACAGCTCAGCCATCCGCGACTCTGGAGAACGTCAGTGGCGTGGAACGAAGACAGCGAGTCCTCTACGCCTGCCGGGTCTTCGCGGAGCATGTCAACGCCAAGCAAACCAGCATCGAAGACATCACCAGCATGCAGGCTATCTTCACGGAGTACGGAGTAGAGTTCGACGGCGTTCCTCTCACACCGTCGGATTGTCAGGCCATCAACACAGTCATCCGTCACCACCACCAGTTCATCACCAGCATCCGCCTGCTCAACTGTGGTATAAGTGATATTGGTTATGCATGCATGGCTGATGGCATGGCTCTACTACGCAATCTTACGATCATCATCCTGCAGGGGAACAACCTCACAGATCGTCACACGGCCCATATCGCAGCGTGTATCGCATCCAACACGTCAACACTGCGAGTACTCTACACACACCAGAACCTGTTCAGCAGCAATGCTATGGCCACCGTCCACAGCAACACACACCGCTGTACGCGACTGCTGGCAGTGGGTCTTGGAGGTCAAAAGTGCACCGATCCAGCAGTCAACCTTGACGTCATCACTAGAATCTGCAGCAGCTGCCCAGATCTCCAGTACGTCTATCTCGTTGACTACGTACTGGATCTGGAAGGTCTAACCCAGCTAGCACCATTGTTAGGAGCACTAAGGCTGAGAGCGCTGGATCTGAGCAAGGTTGGGATGAAGCAGAACTCCGCACTGATCGTCTGTCGAATCATTCAACAGCAACACGAGAGTTTGGAGCGCCTCGCACTCCAGCGCAATGAGCTAACTGGAGATTTCCTGGAAACCGTTCATGGTGCGCTGAGTCAATGCCGACGACTGGAGGAGCTGTACCTGAACGACGACTGTCTTTCGTCGGGAGCTCTGCAGGTGCTTGCGTCCCTGCTGCCCAGTCTGCCAAAGCTCTCCAGGCTCGAAATGGCGAGGAATGATTTCCGAGACACTGACGACGAAGCAAAGTTGTTCGCCGCCGCTGCTGAGAGCTGCTCGTCTCTGAAGAAGCTGAGGATGCCTGAACGAGCTCTAGTGTCTCCGCGGCTGCGTGAGGCTTTAAGTGCCATGCCCAGAGGTGATCTGAATGTGCAGTATTTGGGGGGTCGCTGGTACAACGAAGTGGAGAATGACGAAGTAGACGATGAGTACGACGCTGAAGGAGACAGTGAGAGTGAGGAATGAGGAGGTGAGAGAATTTACAAAGACGGTTTTGTGTCCTGATGAAGAAAGCTTCGTGTTGGTCTATCGTTTCCTCCTGGCATGCAGTCCGTCTGTGTATGTTCGTAGGATGTGCTTGTATATAATATTATATATATGTGTCGTAGGGTTTCTACGTGTGCGTGGTTGTACATGCGTGTCTGTGTGTATACTTGAGCGTGTATTTGTGTTTGTGCGTGTTTGTGTGTGTGGACGCTTGTGTTTCTGCTGGACATTCCTTCCTTCACATTCAGTCAGTTCGAGTACTCACTGTGTCGACCTTTGACCTCGAATACTCACCGTGTTGACCTTTTAACCTCTAGGCTTTGCAACCTGCAATTAGATATTTTCGTTTCGTAATTGTTCGATCACTAGACTAGACTGTGGCCTGTACGTGAGAGATTTGGTGATCTTGAACGTTAGTGTCCCAAATCCCTGTCCCACTGGCACTCTGTAAAAGGAATACATGTATTGGTCGGAGGAGTTCCTTTTGCCCCGCCCCCACTTCCATCCAATATGCCACCACCCCCGCTGTGCAGCATCTGATGGTACTGAGGTATTCAGTAAAAAAAAAAATGTATCTGATGACGTAATCCGGCTGGCTACATGTACAGCTACAGCGCCTGCTCATTACTAGTCGTCACGTTTGTCCTGCTAGTCTCCGTACCATTGTCTTTCCCTGATTCTTTTCGAGCTGGTTATGTGAACATGGTAAAAAGAAAAAAAAGAAAAAAGTCTGTATGCATATCTGATGTGATGCGGCTAGCTACATGTACAGTCTGGATACATATCTGATGTTAGGAATACCGTACCCTGTACCCATTTGACTCTGTCATAATTCTGCAACGCCAGACGATTCGCCATCTCACTTTCCTTCCTATCTTTGTATTGGTGCATGCTTTGTCCTGCCGCTGAACCCGAGACCCACGGCCGGGGACGTACACGTAGGCCCAATTCACCAGCACGCTGCTTCGCCTCCCCGCTAGCGCTGTATGGTCATGTCCTCCCCTTGGTTCTGTCTGCCCATTCCGTTCTCTGCTTGACTGTGCACTTCTGTCTTCAGTATAAAAGTAGAACAAAATTGCCTTGCTCCTTTTTATGGGCATGTATGTACTACATATACACGTACATTACCTGGCATGGCAGAGCTTTTTTTTCTAGATTATGAGGGCAATTATTTTTTTTTAGTGTTATTCCAAGCAATACATGGCTGGGGTAGCCAGTGACCACTTTGCGCGGCGATTGCAGGGTTTTATTGCCAACCACAGCTAAAATCCCTGGATTTTCCTCTATTTTTTCTACTTTTTTTCTTTTCTTTTTTCTGGATACATACATGTCATGTACATGTACTACATGTACATGTAATATTTTTTAAACTCGGATACTGAGCCAGTGTCTCATGTGTTTCTTCTCTTTTTTACAATACCTTTTTACCACCTTTTTTATGATTACGGTGACATTTAGTCATTTAGTTTACATACGTCATTGTCAGTCGTGATCTTGACCAGGAACATTTCCCTACTTGATATCTTCTATCGCTTCCCTGCTACTTCTCACACCATTAGTTCTACTTCGAAGTACATTTAGGTCTTCTTTATACTAGTAACCGCTTGCTTCCAGACCAACGCTGTCAACATCCAGCTTCAGTTCAATCAATGCATTCTTTCCCATGCTCAATGATGCAGATTAAACTCCCAAATAGGTGCAATTTTTACTGCATTATGAACACAATTGTTCAAGTTGCCTGAAAAAATATAAAGCACGCGCTTTGCATCTCTCTTCGGCTAAAGCATGTATGTACATGTGTGTGTGTACATGTACATGTATATATGTTGTGTTAAAATTGCTGCGCAATGAAATCCAGTCGTGTCACTCAAGTAACTTAGTTTTGGTGCCTTGCACCATTTCGCAGCCCAGTGTCAGTGCCAGATCTACGGCTGGGCAACGCCCCAGCGGGCGCATACTTGAGTGTGTCGGCTGGATTTCATTGAGCAGCACTCTACTAATAAAATGAATCCTGTGCAAATCAACTCTCCCCAGCACTCCCCTCACCATCACAAGCCTCTTGTACGGGCAAACAGAATACAATTGACGGTGGCATGGCGAATGATTAGAACAGAACACCAAAAAAATGAAAACAATTACATGTGTAAACTGTACTATTTGGTAGGGGAAAGAGCCAAGAGTCCCTAATCCCCTTTTAACATTAAAATCAATACAAAACGAAAAAAAACGCGAAAAGTAATAAAAAACAGGAAAATACAAGGGCACTATCCTGCCCACCATCATCTCCAAAACCTCACAGCCGGCCCTCCGCGATTGCAACTCTCGCAAAGCACTCACACCGTAGGCTCACACACTCACCATCACCATCCCCGTCACCATCCCCATCACTCTCCCCACTCCTCGCACCAGCACTCCCATTCTTCCTGGCTGCTGGACACCCTGCCAGTGGCCGCATCACCGCCTGTGTGGGATCCGTTCCAGTCACCGATCTGGTTACAGGGGACGTAGCTAGCACATCTCTAGCACATCTGTGGTGTGGTGGCCATGGACCACCGGGCACCGGCAACCCTAATTTGGCCTAAAGTCGCCATTTCGCCAATGTAGCCTATGCAGTACTAGGCATATGCGGATAATGCCGGCAGAATAATTGGCAAAATTCGGTACTTTTTCTGGTAAGTTTCATGCATGTTTGGTATGTGGATAAAGAAATGGAGCAGAATTCGAGGTATTGCCCGCCACAAGGTTTGTATGGTTTTGCCATTTTCACTGCTTTCCGAGCAGAATCTGCCACCTTTTCGAGCATTATCCGCACACCTTTTCGAGCATTATCCGCACACCCCTACTATGCAGCGCAGTACCCACAATGTACATGTACCTGCGTGAGTATACGTACTACCGGTAGTAGACTCTTGCAGTCTTGGTACGAGGTGATTAGTAATAATTTTACATGAAAGTAAAAAAGGCTTTCATTCCGTTGCCCTGGCGAGTTTTGAAGTGTGCATGGTCTCATTTTGTCACTCTGTATGTCCTCTATCCATATATGAACTTCTTGAAAGCACAACACAAACATGAGAGACACAGCGTGGGGTTGCTTTGCATGTATTTTTTCACCCAGAAAAAGTGTGTACAAAATTTTACAAGTCAGTAAAATAGGGTCTAACATCAACAAATATGACCTAAATGTGTCAATAAGCTTGCAATGGTAAATCAAGATACATCTGAAGCGAGTCACATGCAGAGAAAGCAGATTGGTTTTGCAGGTTGCTCAACATATTGGTTTCTCACGGTACGTCGTCAACTCCGGTTCAAACGGTAGGTAATCTTTGACCGCCTACCGGCATTGTAGAGCATGAGCACGCAGACCTTATCTTGCTGCTCCATTCTTTCAACTTGCTATTCATCGTCATGTGTGAAACAACCACACTAATCAAACATACCAGCCAGCCATGATGCGTTCCAGCCGTCCCACGACAGTGTGCCCCCGTGCATCTGAACGACAGTGCACTTAACCAGCACCTACTGACAGTGTCGGAGCTTCCATACTCTCCAAGACAAGTGCAGTGACTCCTTCACCTGATTCATATACTTCTGTGTTGGAAGAAGACTGCAGACCACCCCCAATGGGTGCTCCGCCGTCAACACCCAACATACATTCATGCCACATCATTTCTGCATTTGCTATTTGCCGTCATGAATCTCTACCAGCACGTCTAAGGTAGCAAGCTGAGTTTCATACGTAGATCTACTGACCAGCTAATTATTTTACCTGTACGCCATAAGCATCAGCAGCTTCGAACTTGGATTTGAATCACCTCAAGTTCATGACGGGTGAGTGAAATACACCTACTGTCAAAATTGCAGTTTCTGACCATCACCTTTTTGGCTAATCTCTTCTTCAGCCCTGCTACTCTTGACAGTGTGGCAGACTCAATACCGGCCTCGGGGACCAGCCTAGGGTTTCCACCTGCCGTAGAATATGCTCTCTGGCTCTTGGACGTCCTTCAAGTATCCATTGAGGGATATTTTACCTCATTGACCACAAATTCACGAATTTCGATCCATGATTGATAACTCACAAGGCCGTGGAAGAAAACAATTCCGCAAAACGCTGCTGATGCTTACAAACTACAATACAATGGCAACTCATTTGTCTGTCGAACTAACAAAAACAATTCATGGGAAGAATGCAATCGCCCTCAACAATGCTATTTTACTCGATTTGTAAAATAATATGCCATGTAAAATTTTTACAAATCACCTCGTACACGAGTCACAGAGTACCACGCGTATGGCTTGTTGTCACTTTTATGCCAGATCAGGCAGATGCATGGCAAACTTCAGACAATAGTTGTTTGAAGTTTGCCATAGTTGTCTGAAGTTTGCCATCTGGCATGTAACTATTACATGTAATTACAACAAACCAGACGCGTGCTACTCTGTGACTCGTGTGTTGTTACTGCTCTGCTTCTGCACCGAGCACTCTATCGAACCGGAGGACTCCGCTCTCGATATCTGTGTAGACTCTTGGTGATCATTCCATTCATTTTGTGCAGCTGAGAGCCCGTTAGGGGGTAACGCTCCACATACAAGTATTAGTAGTAGCAGATTCTGCTCGAAAAGCACTGAAATTGACGGAACCATACAAACCAGGATACAAACCGCATGGCAGGCTTGGATTCTGCTCAGTCATTCAGACTGGATTTGAGGGATTCTTGAAGCATCCTCCAAACGTAAAATACTAGTCTTGTTGCCCCATTTCATCCTTCCCCACATAGACTGCGACTGCCATCCAGAGCACACCATGACCAACATGATCATGAGATGAAACGTACTAGAAAAAGTATCGGAACTCTGCCGTTTGCCTGCATTAGCCGGTAATATAAATGGCCATGCTCGAGGCCACGACTTGTGTCTTTGCCTGCTGCCGTGCTGGGTATAATATTAATACAGATAACGATCTTCACACTGGCACTCATGATTCGTAGCTACGAAGTACGACTTGCTGAGCTGAACCAATACTCTACAATGTACAGTACTACAGTACTACAAGCAACATGCATAATGTAGGTGTAGACTACATCATTCTTTGTCTGATATTATCATCTGGCCAGAATCAGTAAACAGCTCTCGCGCCTCGGATCGCGGAGTGGCCGGCTGTGTGCTGACAGCCTGACACTGATGAGCGACGATTGACAGCTGTCACACCTGTTCCAGCAGAGCTGGAGTCAGTGGAGAGTGTGCGTGTGTGTGTGTGTGTGGGGGGGGGGGGGGGTAAGCTTTGGTACTTTGCGGCTCCCTTGGCCTTGCTTTTCCAGATTCACCCGTAGTCCGCCATCCTCCCTTGCAGATCGCTTCTCGGCGAAGACTTGCCAGTACATGTACATGCAGTGACTGCATGCCGCATGATGCACCGTGATTATTTTATTTTGTTGCCGGTTCGTGCGTTTTCCGACCCTCCACAACAGCCAGTATTTTTAGTGCCAACAAGTACAAACAAAGAGTTGCAAGCACAAGTAGATCTACGTCAGTGAGTTTGAACCGGGGCCGGTTGCAGCAGCTCAGCACTGACAGCAGCCTGGCCAGGGGAGAATCTAGCTTCCCAAGGCCAAGGGCCACCGTCCCCTGCAGAGGAGTCAGGGATCACAATCAGGCCATTGTCATTGACAGCTTTCGTTCAGCATTGCGTGTGTGTGCGTGTGTGTGCGTGTGTGTGCGTGTGTCACTGTAAAAATTAAAATGTTGTGTGTGGCAGATCAGAATCAATGAACGTAACGTTACTCGCAGGTTACTACTACTGCCCGGTACTGGTACATTGCCTAGCTGAGCAGCTTGCTGGCAGCGCTAGCGATCGTTTGCTGTTTTCGTGGAGTTCTAGGATAAGAGCTTTTTCCGTAGCGTGAACACGGAGAGAGAGTCGGCCTTGCCGCCACGGAGGGAACAGGAATATTTTGGTTGCGCTCCGCTAGTGTATTACACCGGCGGCGGCACGGTCGGTGACCGTGCTAGCCAGCAGCCAGTGGTAGCGGCAGCAGCAGCTGGAGACTACGAGTACTACCGTACCGGCATGTCTTTGTCAAGCCATGGGTCGCAGGACACGGCAACAAGCGGAGCTAGGATGCCAAGCGAGGTACGACAACGATAGATTGAACTTAAAAGCCATGCATGCATACATCATCATAGCACTGGGAAGTAAGTTCGCACTTGATAGAGGAAAATTTAATGGTATGGTATGGTATTGATTTATTTGAATTCGGTATCTCAACAGTATATTGTACAACTTGGGAAGATACGAATGACATAGATACATAAACATAAAAGTAATGTCCCGATTATTTTTATTATTATGAAGAATTTTGAAAAAGGATTACCCAAACTAGGGTCAAAGGCTAACGCCTATCGTGGGGGGGGGGGGGGGGGGGATTTTGTGTATGTAGAATGGACATTGTAGTTGAGAAAAGAGACAAAGCTGCTGCATAACTCGTTCTCATGTGTTTTCTTCTCTTTTTTTGTGCATTTATTGCTGGCTCAGTATCCGAGTTAAAATTGTGCAAAATGAGTTCATAAAAGATAGATGCTGTTCACAAGATACAGTAAAAGAACGTAAACGAACAAGCAGTGTAAATCATTGGGCGCTTTCGATTACACGTTTACACATGCAATTCTGGAACTAGGTTTTGTAATTCTCGAATGATCAAAATGTACGAATTCCGGCCATGTAAACGAATGACTGGAATTCACAACGCATTTTATTCATGGCATATCACAAACAAAATTGGTCGTAAAAAGATATCACGTCCACCCTCGCGCGCGCGTGCGCGCGCGTCGACCCAGCTTCGCGTACCTGTCCATCCCGGCGAAGGCTCCATGTCGGCAACAATATTGGACTTCGGTAAAGCTGAACGCGTGTGCGAAAGGACCAACCAAAATGATCTGGTCTAATAATCAGCTCCCAGCGGAAACTCAACTGCGGCAATTAGCTTTTCGGGAAGACGAAAGTAGCAACTACATGCAGTTGTAGCCCTGCTTTCGCGCCACACCGGCCAGGGAGGCACTTCCTTGACTTGAGTCATGCATGACCAGACCGGTAACACACCGAGTGTGCAATTCTGGCGCCAGAATTAGAGAAATTCCGCCCTCTCTTCAGAATTGACGGATTTGACGGAATTGGATAATATCAATTCTAACGACGGAATTTGTCACTTTTTGTGTAATCGAACTGTGCATCAACAATAACTAATTCTAGAATTGACCGAAATGCGTGTAATCGAAAGCGCCCATTGATCAGAAATATGATATACACAGGGGCAGCCAACTGTCGACCTTCCTCACGCAGCGATTCGCCAGACGGACGTTGCTCGGGCTAGATAAGCTGAATACGCGCGCGGCTACTGTAAATCATCAAACATTCGGCGCATATTTATTTTCGGCTGTTTCCGGCCTGGTCATGTTTGGCCGAAAATATTTTGCGGCCGAAAATTTGTTCCGCAAGGTTCAGTGTGACAGTGTATTCAGGCGGCAGCAGTACAGGCCAAAAAGTTGATGCAGCCGAAATGGGTTTTGGCCCTGGAAGGCCGAAATTTGAGTGGGCCGAAAAACTGTAGGCTTACAGTATTGGTCAGTGCTTGGGCTGTGGTCACATGACATGTAAGAATAGGACATTGTTCTCCCTTCTGCTGTGGTCACATGACATGTAAGAATAAGACAGTGTTCTCCCTTCTGCTGTGGTCACATGACATGTAAGAATAGGTCATTATTCTCCCTTCTGATTTGGTCACATGACATGTAAGAGTAGGACATTGTTCTCCCTTCTGCTGTGGTCACATGATGATACCTGACCTGGCTGCAGGGAGCGGTGCAAAGCTCCTCATGTTTGCCGATGACAAGACTTTGTACGCTTCCTCACGAGATCCAATAGTATGCGCCGATGTCGTGTCCTCGGCTCTCACTAAGCTACACAATGAACTAAGATCACTGGGCATGAGCGTTAATGTTGGCAAAACCGTGGTCATGAGGATCTTGCCGAAGAATGCTCCTGACGTACAAAGACCCGTTCTTGTTGAGCTGGGTGGCACTACCTAAAGGGAAGTGAGTGTAATTCGCTGCCTTGGTATCCTTATCGATAACAAGCTCTCATTTGTTCCACACGTAGATCACCTCACCAGCAAGGTGTCACGCAAGATAGGCGCGTTGCGACGCACCTTCCGCCAAATGGCAGCATTTGCCCGTCGCCAGTACCTGCTTAGTGTGATTCATCCCGACTTTGAGTATTGTTTCCCTGTTGACGCATCCCACCTATCAGCACAGTCCAGGGAGAGATTGTTTACCTTGTTCCGTAGAGCTGTACGAGTTACCTGCGGTGCTTCATATTATGATGCTGTACCACCCCTTCTTGCTTCTCTTCAAATAAAACACCTTGAATATCGATACATTTATCAATTTCTTACGTTTACGTTTATTTGTCATATTGTTCAGCCTGCATCATGCTTACGCAGTCTTTTCCCTTTGCCCACCTCTAAGCGGTCAACTCGTGGAACTACAACAAACAATTTGTCAATTTGCTTGTATAAATCCATGGTAGGGTACAATTCCTTTTCCTCCAGAGCATCCCTTATGTGGAATGCCCTCCCTGCTCACTTGAAAGGAAGTGAGGACATAAGATCATTTTCTACAGAACTTTTGCACGCCCTAAATGACGACAAATTGACTATATCCCTATACCCCCTCCTTTTTGAAAATGTATTTCACCAATAAAATAAGGCTTGGAATTTTTCAAACATGAATATCGACGGACTTGCCCCTTCTGTTCATGCATTGCCCTGCTCTAGTAATGGTTCATGAATCCGCCCAGTCCACATTCCTTCTCCGTTTTCTTTCCTTTCAGTTGCATCTTCCTCTCTGCTATGTTTTATTTTCTCTTTTCGTTCGTCCCTCTTGATATTTGTACTTTGTACTGTTGAGGCAACGAACTGAAATAATAAAAACCAAACCAAACCAAACCATGACATGCACGAATAGGACATTATTCTCCCTTCTGATTTGGTCGCATGACATGTAAGAATAAATATGATTATTTTATAGAAAAGAAAAAAATGGACCAAAGAACTGCGAGTTAAGGGCGATTCACAATACAACTTTCTGCGACGCGACATGCGATTTGCGACAGTTGCGACAAGAAACTGCCTGTCGCGAGCTATCGCAAGCTGTCGCAAACTGTCGCAAGGCACCTGTCGCAGAAGTTGAAGAAAGTTCCACTTTTGCGACATTCGACACGCGACATACCCAAATGGAGTACAGTTTCGACCCTGGGTGCACTTGCAGTGCACGTGCATAGTACTACTTGTGCATGAGGATGTCGCAAACATGAAGAATATTGTGAACCGTGTGTCGCTGTCGCAGCTCGTCGCATGTGTCGCATGTCGCGGCGCAAGAAGTTGTGTTGTGAATCGGCCTTTACGCTATAATGTCCACTAACACCACCAGTTACTAAGCAATCAGCTCATGCGATAACATTGCACGACACTGACCGACGGTACTGACGTTCTACGACTAACTGGCTAACAGCTCTAGCTCACTTTGGATGCACACTCCAACAGCATTCCAACTTGGAAGGTTCTAAGTTATATGATGACATAAGAGGGGAAGGTGAGCGCAATCAAGACAAGCACGAGCTGAAAGTCTCGGCTGTGGAGGACGTTGACGTTGTCCTTTTTCTTTTCTATAAACGTATCCTTGGCTCTCCACCCGAGTCCAAATATGACATTGTTGTCCTGTCTGCTGTGATCACATGACGTGTCCAAATATGGCATTGTCTGCCTTTCTGCTGTGATCACATGACGTGTCCAAATATGGCATTGTTCCCCTTTCTGCTGTTATCACGTGCCGTGTAAGAAGACGACATTGTGCTCCCTTCTGCTGTGATTGTCCAGCTACGGCGGGATGGCAGTGATTCTAACCAATCCTATGTCAGTTGCTCGTCCAGTCTACGCTACGAGTCGCTGGATTCCCTACCGCCGAGCACTCCTGAGACGTCTCGCCGCCCTGACGAGCAGGCGTACAGCATCAACGATCGAGGCGAGGGCGAAGCCGAGGTAGAGAGTGCTGGAACCAAGACAGCGCCATCACCGCACCACCATCTACGAGTCAGTGCCAGCCCAGCAACAGGTAGATATGCGCCTAGCCTACATGAGGCACTCGCAATGAGGTTTTGTCTTGTAACCGATATCGTACTAACAAGGGTAGACCTGTACTGAGATTTTCTGAGAAGTTGTGTCCGTCTTCATGTATTCCTTTGATCACACACACACGCACGCAGGCACACGCACACACACACACACACACACACACACACACACACACACACACACACACACACACACATACACACACAAACAAATAAACACGACCCCCCCCCCCCCCCCACACACACACATACACACTCATATTCATACTCATACTCCGGCGCTGTGTGCTGAAGCGATGATAGCGAACAAGCTATGCTTGTGCTGGGATTACACCATTCAACAGCTTGCAAGGCACACACACACACACACACACACACACGCCCAAACAAAAACGAACAGACACACATACACACACACGCACCAACGCACAAACAAACGTGCACAAACACACATTTCCGTATCTCCTTCTCTATTCCCAACCTCAGGTAGCGATGACAATGACGACGGCACAGGTGACTGTGATGCAGACGCGACTGTCATCCGTCGCCATGGCGGCAAGTCATGTGACGACGGGCACGGTCTCACGCCCAGCGAGACTACACCACTACTTCACAATGGATTACTGGCCCACAGTTAGTATACTGAAACATGTCTCTATTCAAAGCAGTGAAGACTAAGGGGTCGTCGCAAAAGTTTTTTTTTATCGTCCCTGAAATGAACATCATTCATTTCGTACTCGGACCCCTCCCCTCCCTCTGAAACGAACGCAGCTTGCTATGCTGGACGACGAAAATCGCATGCATGTACATGTACATATGTGCAGTGTCAGTCGACTTGTGATTTTCGCTCGCACCCCTCGCGTGCCAGTACTCAAATCCAGTTCTAAATATGACAATTTCACCCACGGTGTGTATGCTCCTGCTGTCACAGGCAAGCGCCACACTACGGTGCGCGGCACGCGCTGGATTTTCACCGTGGTCGGTTTCTTCCTGTTCACGTTCCTGTACGGCTGCCGCTTCAACGTCAGTGTCGCCGTGGTGGCCATGGCCGGCAATGTTACCAAGTCCGCTGATCAGAATGGAACAGTCGTTGTGAGTAGAAATGTGTCCTTAAAAAGATTACACCATCACCCCGGTCTCTTAAATGACAGCAATCTAAATTAGACGTTCCGCGGTCATCACCATGCAACAGAATTCTCAAGATTTTTTCTACCAGAATCGATTTTCGGGTCACGTTCTTTGGTCTCACACCGCAATTTCAATGGTCAATTTCTCCAAATTTTCGCCACTGAGGCTTGATCAGCATGTACTGAAAATATTGGATATAGTGAAAATTGAAAATTGGTGGTGATGGTGATTTTGGGAAGATGATTATTTATTCCCGTAGCTATGCAGAAGACGTTACTTCAGTAACGTCTGGCGCTAGCCAGGGTCCACACAGCTTTAATTCCCGTAGCTATGCAGAAGACGTTACTTCAGTAACGTCTGGCGCTAGCCAGGGTCCACACAGCTTTAATTCCCGTAGCTATGCAGAAGACGTTACTTCAGTAACGTCTGGCGCTAGCCAGGGTCCACACAGCTTTAATTCCCGTAGCTATGCAGAAGACGTTACTTCAGTAACGTCTGGCGCTAGCCAGGGTCCACACAGCTTTAATTTGGTGTTTGTTTGTGTGTTTGTTTGTGTCACGCCTGGCGCTATCCGTATCTGACGGCAAAAAAGCATAGGATGTTATAAATTTTTCAATTCTCCTTTTTTTCAGGCATATCCTGGGATTCGAACCCGCACTATCGCCCTACATGCATTCCCCCATACACTTCGCATTCATACCCATTCTTCCAAGCTGCTTTACGTTATTATCTTGCGTTTGAAAGCCCTATTTGAATATTGCGGGCAGCTGTATGTGGCCAGCTGTGTTTGAGGGTACGGTACGGTACGGGAGACGGTGTCGTATTACCCTCGATCGTACCTGTCCCGTACCTATCCCCTACCGTACCGTGCCATCAAAGACGGCTGGCCACAATGCATATTCAAATAGGGCTTTCAAATGCAAGATCACAATGTGAAACAACTTGGAAGAATTAGTATGTATGCGAAGTGTATCGGGGGATGCATACAGGGCGCGCGATGGTGCGGGTTCGAATCCCAGGTTATGTCTTAAAAAAAAGGAATTTTTTTAAAGAATTTATAACATCCCTATGCTTTTTTTTTGTCTAGGTCATCAAGGCAAAAAAGCATAGGGCCCTGAGCTTCCAAGCTCTCTTGTTTGGTGTTTGTTTGTGTGTTTGTGTCACGCCTGGCGCTATCCCGTATCTGTCCCGTACCGTACCAAACCATCAAACACAGGTGGCCACATACAGCTGGCCGCACTATTCAAATAGGGCTTTCAAACGCAAGATCATAACGTGAAGCAACTTGGAAGAATGAGTATTAATGCGAAGTGTATGGGGGAATGCATGCAGGGCGATAGTGCGGGTTCGAATCCTAGGTAATGTCTGAAAAAAATAGGAAAATTGAAAAATTTATAACATCCCTATTCTTTTTTTGCCGTCGTCAAGGCGTTAGATGGTGTCGTATTACCCTCGACCGTACCTGTCCCGTACCTGTCCCGTACCGTACCGTACAATCAAAGACAGCTGGCCACAATGCATATTCAAATAGGGCTTTCAAATACAAGATCATAACGTGAAGCAACTTGGAAGAATTGGTATGTATGCGAAGTGTATCGGGGGATGCATGCAGGGCGATAGTGCGGGTTCGAATCCCAAGTTATGTCTAAAAACAAAAAGTAGAAATTTATAAAAATTTAAGAACATCCCTATGCTTTTTTGTCTAGGTCATCAAGTCAAAAAAGCATAGCGTAGGGCCCTGAGCTTCCAAGCTCTCTCGTTTGGTGTTTGTTTGTGTGTTTGTGTGTTTGTGTCACGCCTGGCGCTATCCCGTATCTGTCCCGTACCGTACGGTACCATCAAACCCAGCTGGCCACATACTGCTGGCCGCACTATTCAAATAGGGCTTTCAAACGCAAGATCTTAACGTGAAGCAACTTGGAAGAATGAGTATGAATGCGAAGTGTATGGGGGAATGCATGTAGGGCGATAGTGCGGGTTTGAATCCCAGGTAATGCCTGAAAAAAAATAAGAAAATTGAAAAATTTATAACATCCCTATTCTTTTTTTGCCGTCATCAAGGCGGTAGATGGTGTCGTATTACCCTCGACCGTACCTATCCCGGACCTGTCCCGTACCTGTCCCGTACCTGTCCCGTACCGTACAATCAAAGACGGCTGGCCACAATGCATATTCAAATAGGGCTTTCAAATACAAGATCATAACGTGAGGCAACTTGGAAGAATTAGTATGTATGCGAAGTGTATCGGGGGATGCATGCAGAGCGATAGTGCGGGTTCGAATCCCAAGTTATGTCTAAAAGCAAAAAGTAGAAATTTATAAGAATTTTTAACATCCCTATGCTTTTTTTTGTCTAGGTCATCAAGGCAAAAAAGCATAGCGTAGGGCATTGAGCTTCCAAGCTCTCTCGTTTATTTATTTCACCTTCCCGTGGCCAGAGAATATAGGCCAATATGCAGGGAGGGAGGCGGTAGCCAGCCATGGCTTTGGCTGCAGTGGAGTATACACGTGGTGTGAAAATGAGCTTTGTTACGCAAGAGAATTCATAACGGTCACTACCACTAACTAGGAGTTGGGCAGTATAATTCGTGGAAACTAAAAAATAGAAATAAAAAACTTTTCGCACGGAGGAAATACTGTCGAACGGCTAATTTTTTTCTTTTTTTCTTGAACGCCTACTGCTGTGCATAAACCGTGAAAATCCTACACATGTAAAGAAAAAGAAAAAAGGCCCAACCCTGCCCTGCCAGCCACATGTACATGTAGCTGGGCTTACGGGGGTCGCCGTGGTAAATAAGAACGGCTAATTTTAGTGGGTAATTTTTGGTAGCGTTTTCTGAATCTGGACCAATCCGCGATGAAGTATTTTAGCGATCCGAGTTTCAGAGTAAAAAAATCCCAAGAAGACTAGTGCTGTACCGTACATGCAAGATTTCGATTGGCGCGGCAAAACTTTAGCGAGCACTTCTTTCGCGAAAATCGCTAAAATATCACCGGTGCTAAAGTTTGCCGTTTTACAGGAGAAATGAGTAGTGAGTTACAGGTCACAGAACCCCACCTGTTGTGAAGGACTGTTACCCACAGCTAGTGTCTACAGTTCATCATGCAGGGGCGTCGCACACGGTACGGTCACTACGGTATTGACCGTACCGCTATTTGCCCCAAGTACTCCGCGAATCAATATGAATGCACTGATTTGCGCTCTAAACATCCAAAGTTTTCGGCTCGTCCACCCCTCCCCCACGAGTTAATTGTGCTTAAGATGGCTGGCCGTGTCACGCTAAATTACCTTCCGACGCCCCTGTTATGAATAGCGACTTCAACGAACTGTTGCCGGTCGATTTTTGTGCTTACCATCTTACCAGATAAACAAACTGTGTGGAGAGCTCCGAGTGAAATTCAACAAGTATTCCGCCTGACATTCTTTTGGAAAACAGTGCACTTATGAAGGGAGTAGGAGTGAGTGTGTGTTGCATAAAATAGCATTCTCTCCACTGCACTCCTCTTAGGAACTTGTGTGTTGTGTGTTCTATACTTCTCAATTTTGCCATGTGCTTTCCTTCTGCTCTTGCCCTAATGCCCAGGGACCTGAGTTCGACTGGACCAAACAACAACAAGGTAACGTTTGAAGAGTTTTAATAGATGCAAAACGCAACACATCCATTTCAACACCTTTCTAATCAGGCTGAAAAAAGAAGATTCACTAAATGCATGATTTGTATCTTAATCCATATTCGGTTAATAGTTTTGAAATGATTCTAGTCGGATTCGTGAATGCTAAGTTTGGCCTGAAGGTGCCACTAGAGCTTATGATCGCACTGAGCGCACAGTCTCAATTTCTCGAAATTGTCGCTTGTCGCGTTTTGCATGTAAACTCTTCATTTTTTCACTGGGGTTTACCGGGTGTCAGCGTCCGTCGGGAGTTCCCTTCGGGAACGGACGCGATAATTTTCCTTGTACTGTAAAAGCCATATATATAACGAAGTGCTAACTCTAACGAGTTAACGAGGAGAAATCTGTCGTTAAAATAGAAATCGTTATACAGAAATCGATACATTATACTGTCCTACTGAGCGTTGAGAATAAGTGAGAATCGTTACCTTTGGTACACGTAAACCAGTCAATTTGGGGAAATCGTTATAATATGCGCCTCGTTAGAATAATGGCTTTTACAGTACTTCTTTCTTTCTTCGCTGACGACTAGCTAGGCCAGCACTCATTCAGAACTGAGTATTGTCAGTGCTTGCACTTACAAATGTGCTACATAGCGTCACAACGTCAGACAGAAGTACACAGAGTTGCACCAGACGGCACTGGATATGCCACATTAAATTTATTTACTGTTGTATGAAAAGAAAAAAAAGAAAAAAGAAAAAAGGAGAAGGACGAAAATGCTCGGACTAACTGTCCACCAACGTAACCAAAGCTTAATTATGCAGTCAGCGAGTGCGACAAGAAGGCACAAAACCGACAAGGAGTACTGAGACATTCAACGACCTGACACCTAGCTCCAACGCTTCTCGGAGGCTGTTGTATGGCGTAATTTACCCCTGCTGTCGCAAGTGCTGACTA